GGGGCGGGCCCCAGCCATTTAAATTTAAATGAAGCCGCGATTATTTTAATCGCGGCTTCATTTCCCTTTTCCGATCTGGCTAATCTACATGCCTCCGTCGAAGGAGGCATGTAGTCTAGACACACCCTTAGAGAGTAGCTTTTTAGGGTTAACAGAAGAAAGACAACTCCCTACCACCAGACAGTAAATAGTCTATAGGAGGCACTCAATATAGACTTTATTTTATAGGCCCTTTAGTTGATTAAATGTTTACTGTAGAGAATATAGAATTCTTAGATACCAGTGAGAGGCAACCCAGAGCACCCAATGTAAATTCTGATTTTTTTTATTTTGTGGTTCAAAATAAAATGCAGGCAAGAACAGTATGATGGTAAACATGCAGCAAATACAAGGATCAAATCTATAAAAATGACTTTATTTTTTAATATTTTTTGAATAAATGCCTACCATAGCACTATTTATAAAAGTATATGTACTATCTATGTCCTTTATTTTTAGAAAACCTTTGCATAGTATTTTGCAACCAAAAATTGCCACCTTTGTCACAACTTTAAAAAAAAATCCTTGGGACAATGATTCTCAACCTTTTCTGGCTGGTGATCCACTATTTAAAGTAAAGAGTTTACACAACATGCTCACATTTACTATAAAATTAAGAGTAAAATAATAAATGTGTTTGTGTTTCAAGAGATTACCAATACATGATCTCAAATGGCAAGAGTATGCAGGGAATAGAGCAGCAAGAATTTCTTTGCTTAGAATTTCTTTGCTTAGAGTGCAATACAATATTCAAATGCTTTGTGACCCTTCTTCCTCTCCTCCCAATTGAGTTTAGTGATCCACTTAAGGAGTAACAATCCACCAGCTGATAAATATCACTTTAGGCTTAGGCCAAGCACACTGAGAATGACCCCAGTGCCTTAGCCACAAAACTAGAGTCAAGAAGGATTCAGTTCATGGCTGTAGCAAAGATTTATTGTATAAACAGTTAATCTCTCTCTGAATATATTCCTAATCTGTAAAATAGGAATAATAATACAGCCTTTCTCCCATTGTCTGTCTTGCCTATTTAGATTGTAAACTCCTCAGAAAAATGTCTTCCTATGGGCCAGATTGTCTCTTACTTATATGGAATTGTAATTTACTTAACAAGAAGACTCATTGATTTCAGTGGAAATATTTATGATTTATCAATAATCATTTTTTGAGGAGTAATGTTAGTTTGAACCAAGGGGTTTGATTCGAACTAACACATCCCAGAGTGCACTTCCTCGTTCGAATCAGCTGGTAAGCGGAATAACGCGCAGGTGAGATTATGCTAATGAAGCACGGGATATTTAAATCTCCACTTCATTAGCAATTTCGGTTGGCTACATTTGCATCTCTAGTCCGAACTAGGGAGCAAGTGTAGACGTACCCTAAACGATGTGTCCACACTACCAAGCCAGTTGCGTTGACTTTAAGGGCCGCTTGAAGTCAACTTCAATACTCTTGTTTTTCACAGAGAATAACTCTATTGCTGAGTTGCATGGCCAAATTTACAGTAGTGTAGACACACTGTTGCTAAAAGTTGATGTGATCGGCCTCTGGGAGGCCTCCAGTAGTTCCCCGCTCTGACTGCTCTGGCCAGAACTTGTGTCTCTACTACTCTCCAGGTGAGCACAAAAAGCACTGGGAAAATTTGAATTGCATTTCCCATGAGCCAGCATTGTGAGCACATCTCAAAGTGGGCAGCACACCACGGCACACATGGACATTACTTCACCCAATTCAAGTAACACTGCGATGAGTACAAATACTTCACCACAGATCACAATAGGCATTTCCACCTCTCCAATTCTGATTTTCCCATCTGGGAAAAAAGTTCCATTGTGCATCTTTTGGAAGAGGCAGGAGTTCTTGAAGATGCATACATCATGCACCTTTCCTGACCCTCCCATGTTGTTGGTGGTGAAAAGGCCCTTGTGATCCACCAGCACCTGAAACACCATGGAGAATTACTCTTGGCGGTTCATGTACTCTGTGGCAAGATGGTCGGGGGCCAAGATGGGGATATGTGTTCTGTTTATCGTCCCCCACAGTTAAGGAACCCCAGTGTGGCAAAGACATCCGCTAGAGTGTCTATGTTTCCCAAAGCCACAACCCTCCGTAGCAGAAAGGTATTGATCACTTTGGCTACTTGTATGACAGCAGCCCCCACTGTAGATTTCTCCACTCCAAACTGATTCCCCACTGACCAGCAGCTGTCTAGCATTGAAAGATTCCACAGAGCAACTGCCATATGCTTCTTCACAGTCAGAGTGGGTCTTATTTGGGTATCCTAGTGCCTTAGGGCAGGGGCAAGCTATTCACAAGTTTCAAGAACGTGGCCTTGCTCATTTGGAAATTCTGCAGCCTCTGTTGATCGTCCCATCTCTGCATCACAATGCGGTCCCACCAATCTGACTTTGTTTCATGGTGGCAGAACTGGTATTGCACAGTGTCCAGAGGATTGACAGGTAGCTGAGCTGACATCAGCACCAGGCCTTGCATAAGCAGTGCCTCCATGCTACGCTGAGATTTGTCCCCATCCTCCTCCTGGAGGAGCGACATGTGTGCACTCTCAAAGTACAGCACCATTAGGCACACACCACAACACACATCAGCATCACAATGGTTTGCTGCAAACTGGGCTCCATGCTGGCACTGCTATGGCATCTGTGCAGCCAACCAGGGGACAAAAAGGCACAAGCACACTGCCTCCTTTTTATCTCACGCAAGGGGGGAGCGACTAGATGAGTGAATTATGAGACACTGACAACATGTGCCCATAACCACTCGCTGCAGACTTTTGGTCCTAGTGGGCACCAGGAGCATAGCCCACAATGCAAAGCTGCCCACATCTCCATAATGGACTACATTTCATTCTTCCCCACAGTGAGGACATGGACCTTGACTTCACAAAATCGCGTACCCAGAAATTGAGCATATTAGATTCGGACTTATCTCAATGATTAGATGTGCCCACAGTGCCTAGCACAACAGGGATCGGATCTTGGTTAGTTCCTCTAGGGGCTTCCACAATATAAATTATAGTAATAATAATGTGGCACATTATGGCAGCTGCCTGCCATGTCAGAATTTTTAAAAGACACTGGTATTGACAAGTTTTCACTAACTACAATTGCATATAAAATAAAAGTCTTAGTGTGTTCGAGCCTTATATTAAATCATGACTTTATGAACTGGAAGATCCAAGATGTTACAAAATACTGATTATGCTTTTCCAGCTACACATTTCAAGTTACTACATGAAGCACCATTTTCTTAATGAGGATGTATCAACTCACATGATTTCATTTTTATTTCTTTTATTTTTCATTATTTCTAGGATGTGTAATTAATTCTGTTTTACCATCTGAAGCACAAAGATGCTTTAAACACCGAATATGAGTTTCATAAATGCCTCAAGAGATTATCACAACCACTGCAGGATCCAGAATTTTCCTTATCTTTCACAGAGAGAAAATTAAAGTTGTTACCTCAGGGGAAGGTAGATCTGTAGGAAACATATCACCAACTATTGTAGTAAGAAGTTTTTCACCTAGAATAGTTTCTAAATAGTCTGCCATTTTCTCCTGTTGCTTAGGGCTGCAGTGATTCTCCAAAGACAGTACAACAGGATAGTCAGATGCCTGAAAATACAATAATTAATCATTAAAAATAAGAAATACTAGATGCACAATATATCTTACAAAAAAGCACATGGGTATTTGTCTTTCATTAATTTTAAAATATTCAAAATAGTGATTAGTTATTCTAGATTAATAACACAACAGCATTGAGTTCAGTAATAGTTATGGAAGAGGAAAAGTAAAAGTGGAAACTAGTTCAAGTTAAAAGTTTAATATTTGGGCCATTAGATACAGGGATTGGTTTCAGCTTAGACATAAACAGAGGAAAGACTATGACAAGAAAAGCCAAATGAAGCTCAGTTAACCTGGTCACAGTATTTTATAAGGGAGAAGTCTGAATGACTACATTCTGATCTTAAGTTTATTTGTCCAATGTTAATAGCCAACAACCAAGTTCACCAGAGTTGAATGTGGAGAAAGTAGAGAGAAAAGAGGTGCTAAATCAGTTAAGAACCTAAAACATGGTAGCAGGAAATAATATTCATCACACATGAGGATGTTAAGAAGTGGGTAATTGACTAATCGTTTATGCGATACAACATGTATCGAGTACACGATTAGTTGATAAGGGGCCCCCTGAGGCTCTGCAGTTGAAATGTAGTAGGAGCGGGGCATGCAAGTAGCCCAGCTCCTACTACATTTAAACTGTAGCAGGCGTAGGTCCAGGAGTTGGCGAAAGCTGGGACTCAGCAGTCCTGGCTCGCGCCAGGTCCCAGACAGCTGCGCCTCTTCATCCCCTGCCCCTCCCCAGCAGAGACAGTGCTGGGAGAAATGACTTTTAAAACAGCTCCCACCAGCACTGGCTCTGGCTACCTGATACACAGGCAGCAGGTGTGGGGGAAGTGAGTAGTGACTCAACTTGTTGCTTACATCCCTAGCACACATATTGGAAAGAAATTTAGCCCAAAAAATTTCAGGGTCTGTCAAGACAGCAACCCACTGACTAGTGCTTCTTACCACCACAGAGCTTCACAACAGCTTAGAATACCAAGAAGCAAATAGTGATGATGTGAAGTAGAAACAAAACAAAAAGAAAAAAATACCCATGGAAGATTATTTAGGTTAAATTCAGCAGAGGAAAAGCTGCTGACATCTAAAAACTTCAACATTCATTTAGACACCAGTCTATTTCAATGCTTTATTTTCTATACTGTGTGTCATTCCTTCATCCCAGCATATTTGTAGATATATATTCTTCATTTCTTCAGGCCTAATAGTCACTACCCACCTGAAAAATCATTCTTTTGTGACCTGAAAGTAATATCAAAGTTGCTCTGGGAATTATTAGGGCATGCCAGTAGATAATTATTACTTAAAATGAAGAGGAATATATGAATTCCTTAGAAATAATGATCCTGTTTGAATGGAAATATTCTTAGTGAGGAGAACCAAGGGGAAAGCAATACAAGGAAAACATAATAAACTGCTATTCCCAAGTCCCCAAAGCAAAAAAAGAATTTTAATTTGGCTCAGTCATTGGTATCTGGAAGATACACCAGACATCTTTTGATCACAGCTATTTTCCTTGCTAGTGTCTTTTGAAGGGATAAAAATCATATTTTGTATGAAAAAATAAACAAATTACATTAAATTTAACACCTGTAGCTATATACCTGAAAGAGACTAGCATAAACAATATTTCTCTGTTTTTGCATCATTCTGAGTAATTAGTTTCCCACTTTGATTGTGTGGGTTCTTTACAAACCAAGAGAGGGGAGAAAAATATTGTCAAAAATAGGAAAATGTGATTAGAAGCCATACCCCTAACATAAGTGCAGCTATGCCAAAGGTCCATCTATCCCAGAATCTTGTCTGCTGACAATGGACAATGCCAGGTGCCCCAGAGGGGAAAAACAGAACAGGTAATCTTCAAATAATCTAGCCCCTGTTGCCCAGTCCCATCCCTGACCAACAGATGCTAGGGATACTATCCCTGCCCATTTTAGTTAATAGCCACTGATGGGCCTATCCTCCATGAATTTATCTACTTTTTTGAACCCTCTTAAAGTCCTGACTGTTACAACATCCTCTGGCAGGAAATGCCATAGGCTGACTACGAATTGTGTGAAGAAATACTTTCTTTTGTTCATTTTAAACCTGCTGCCTATTAATTTCATTTTTAATCCCCTACTTTTTGTGTTATTGGGAGGAGTAAATAATTTTTCCATATTTACTTTCTCCATAGCCGTCATGATTTTATAAACTCTATCATTTCTCCCCTCAGTCAGTTCTTTTGCAAATTGAAAAATCCCTGTCTTCATATGGTATCCGTTCCATACCCCTAATCGTTTTTGTTGCCCTTTTTTGAACCTTTTCCAATGCCAATATATCCTTTTTGTGAGATAAGGCAACCATATCTGCACACATTATTCAAGATGTGGGGGTACCATGGATTTATATAGAGACTTTCACAGAGTAAAGTACAGGTATTGTAGGTTTTTTTTATCTAGTTTGTTTCTACAGCACCCTTCACTCCAAGCACTATCCAGAGCACCCTAAATTACAACTGTACTAATAAGTATTAAGTCATCACATTTCAACAAATGTATGTACATACCACAAATGCATACTTCTCTATCACGTCGATGACAGTTTTAAATAAAATTTTGCTTGTTAAAGTGTGACCGTGATACACAATAGGTTCATTGTTTCCTCCATCCCAGCAATCGATTTCCAAACAACGGCATCCTTTCATCAGAGCACTTTAAAATTAAAAGAAAAAAAATAACAGTAAAAAAGGGAGCTGTCATTTTGTTGCAGTCCAGATTACAAATAGCATAGTCTGAATAATTAGCATACCTAAATTATCATGCAAAAAAATAAAATACCAACCGAATATATGTATATGGAAATTGATGTATATTTTCTCTAATCTATCTTGGGCTTATAATAAGCTTTATTAGAGCCTCTTGGGTAAAAACAGATTCTACGAATATGAACCCATAATAGATAAAACTATACAGCCAAAGTTTTAGTTTAAGTAAAACCTTTTCTGGAACAATAGTTGATATAATAGGAAATGTTTGAGGTTTATTTATGTTAGGATTGTATATTTGAATAAACTCCAGCTAAGTTATGAATTTGAAGTATAAAAGCACCAGTAATAAAGCTTACCGTAAGCTAGAATGTGCCTGGTGTTTACACAGATGATAAGGGCATGAGGAGGCCTTCCTTTACCTCTGTGCAATATGTGAAAGAGCCAGGCAACGTTACAGGACTTGCATGCTGAGGTGCACAGAGATTCACTCCTCCCAGCTTTACCAAGAATGCAGAATACACCACAAAGAGAATAGGGGCTGGACCCACCATCAATAGCAATGGCATGAAATAATCATATCATTCTGATTAAGTCATTTCAGATTCTGTGCTCTAGAGTAAATTAAACTAATTTGTAAAGACATTAGATTTTTATTCCTCTATGGTTTCACTGCTAGGAGGAGAAAAGGTTGTTTGGATAGCCTGAGTGTGTACTTCCATATCTTAATAAGTCTGAATTTCTTAAGTTTAACAATAACTCTGAATTTCTTTGGTTTATCATTTTTTATTTGGAATAATTACACCCTCCAAGTAATGTATTTTACCATAAAGTACTGATATAACTCCATCCTAATATGATTTTTTGGTCTAGGAATTTTTTTTTCTGTAACTAAAAATTCATACGTGAATACTAAGAAAGAAACAGAAAGAAAATGCTGCCATGTGATAGGTCTAATAATTTGATGATATGCAGTGTCTACCTTAGCCCCTTTTTTCACATTTAACTTTTACATTCAGCTTTACAAGTAAGTTCTGATCCCTTACCCCATTCTGGGGCAGTTCAAAGCAGCCCAGGAAAACTGGTCAGCCAAACTGTGTTTATAGCTGCTTTGTTTCACCAGAGCAGTACAAGGAAACTGGAGTGCTCTTAGACTCCTGTCCTCCAAATTCCTGTCTCCTGAACTTTCCTACATTATGTTTTACAAATCCCAGTTTTCCCCTCCCTTCTTTTAAGGGGCAATGTGTTGTGGGGCAAGAAGGGTCACGTGCCCCACCACCATAGGTGAGAGGAGCCAGCCAGCAGCCGGTGGGAGGACTAGTATAGGGGGGCTTAGCACCCACAGCAGGGATCCAGCCCCCCACACACACATTCATTGGCAGCAGTGGGGGAAGCAGAGCTAGGCAGCCCCAACTTGTTCTACTACTCCAGCCACGTCGCTTAGGGGAGGGGAGACACCCCCCCCACACACACACACACACACTCATTACCAGGGAGCGGAGCAATGCGGCCAGAGGAGCTCAGCAAGCTGGGGCTGCCTTGCTCCACTTTCCCCAATGCTGCCGGTGAATGTAAGGGTGGGGCAGACCCCTGCTGCAGCCACTGGACCCTCAGTCCTGCTCTGCCCTCAGCCCTGACCTGCATTAGTTGGAGAAAGACATGGGGCAGAGATGGGGGCGGGGCAAGGACAGAGCAGGGGCGGGGAAAGACTGGGCCTGTGGTGGATGGGGGTTGTCCTGGCCCTTTCCGGAGCTGGGGGAGTCATGTGGTTGGTAGTCCCCAGGTTCCTCCTCACCAGTCACCTCTCCTGAACCCACTACATTCCACAATCCCCTTCACAATTACAAAATAAATCCCTGCTTATTTCCTTCTTCCACATTCCTGTGATCATTCACCCCATATTTTCCTTCCTCCTGCATCTCCTACATTCGCCAGCATATGCTCTTACCCCAAGTTTCCTTCTTCTTTCCTCACCTCTCCGCTCCTCTCCTCGCCCCTGCAAGTGCACGTATTTTCCCCACTTGACTGTACCCAGAACGTTTCCTTGCGTAAGCATACATGCATGCATGCTACTTGCATGCACCTGCCCTGGGCATCATGGAGTCCACAGCCAATGTACCTGGCTTCTACACATCTATCCAGAATCCAGACAGGGGCTATGTCTACACTACAAAGTTTCTGCACAAAAACGGCCATTTTTGCGCAAAAGCTCATGGAGCATCCACACCTCAAGCGTGTTTTTCTGCAAGTAAAACAACAGAACAGAGGGGGTTTTCCGGTGTAGGTATTCCTCATTCTAGAGCTCTTTTGCAAAACGGTGTGTGTGGACAGGCAAGAGGAGTTTTTGTGCAAGAAATGGCCTCCAGGGGTAAAAACAGGTGCCCTAGTGGCCACTCCATCCAAGTTAATCAGAACTCTGTAGTGGCTGTCTGCTGGACCCTCTTAAAGCTGCAGGCATCCTGGACAAGTCTTGTGGCAGGAAGTTGTGAATAGAGCAGGTTCCTCACCGTGCAGCTCTCTCTTGCCACTGGCATTGCCACACATGGCAGAGCAAGAAGCCCCGAGACCCTCCTGGCACTCCCAGGGAGCAGCCCCAGGGGTCCCATAACCCCCCAGGGGGACCAAAAGGCATGCCCCAACATGGTCTGGCCTAGAGATTGTGACTCTCCTGGAATTGTGGGGTGAGGAGGAGTCCCTGCAAGATCCCTGGGCCAAGTGGTGCAATGCCAAAATATTTTCACAAATGGCTGTATCCCTGGCGGAGCGAGGTCACCCTGCCCAGACCATGGAGCTGGTCTGGAGCAAGGTGAAGGAGCACCATCAGAGGTATGTGAGGGCCACCACGGACTCAGGGGCAGGACCCCACACCTGCCCCTACTATGCGGAGCTCCACCTCATATTGCGAGATGGGGAAATGTCTTCCCCACACATTTTGTGTTGGACTCTGGGCTGGAGACACCAGTTATCATCTGCCCGGAGGTCTCCCCCAAGGACAAGCCGGAGGGCCATGACCAACCCCAGCCGGAGGAGGAGGAGCAGGAGCCAGGGACTGTGACCCTGTCCCTGGAGCCAGTCACTGCCAGTGAGGACATCTCCCAGGCCTCCTCGGACACCTGTGAGGGATCTTCAGGTGAGCTGTCACACACACACAGGGCAGGCGCACTGGGAGCAGGGGGCAAGTGTCACTCAGGCTGCACATGGTGCTGCAGTCCGTACATGTGCAACCATGTGGCGCATGAGTGTGTGGCATGCGGACACAGTAGGCAGCCCCTGAACATGCCCTGGATCCTGCTGCCAAACTACAAGGGTTCAGACACGACCCCACACAGACCAAGGAGTGCCGCACATAGCACACAGGCATGCCTACATATGCGAGGCAGCAGCTGCTCCCACAGACAGCACAGCAAGCTGCAGCTGTGTGTGTAGACCCCACAGAGGGCCAGGCTGATCCCGGCTCCTCTTCCACCCATGAGGGGATCCTACTGTGGCCAGACACTTTCCGGGGGGGGGGGGGGGGAAGCAGGCAGCACGGTCCTCTGGGCATGTCAGGGCCCCTGTGAAACAGGGCATGATATGCAGGCCACACATGGCCTGGCAACCAGGACATCCCCCTCCTGTGGGCCGCAGACTGTTATGGTCGCAGCTCACTAGGGAAGGCATGGCCTCAGGGAATGTGTCTGCAGGGATGACTGACCACCTCTCCCTATTGTGTGTTCTCCACAGCCGGACCTGCAGAGGGCCAAGCCACACTGCTGCAGCCACCTGCCAGAGCCCAGAGGACTCACAGACTGGAATGTGTCTGCAGGGATGACTGACCACCTCTCCCTATTGTGTGTTCTCCACAGCCGGACCTGCAGAGGGCCAAGCCACACTGCTGCTGCCACCTGCCAGAGCCCAGAGGACTCACAGACTAGCCAGGGTGCAGGAGGACCTGATGCGCCAACACATCAGCATCCTCCACGATATCCATCAGAGTATGGTATGAAGGGTCAATGCGGACCTCAAGTGACAGAAGCAAGTGTGGGACCAAATGATGGCGCGGTGGGACACCATGTGTGGCATCATGTCCCTCATGGTGGAACACCCTCCTGGTACCGCTGCTCCTGGCTACCACCCTCCCGTCCCCACTCCTATGGCCATTACCCATCGGCCTGCCCACCCTGCCCTGCC